CCCCGTTGCAAATCCGCTCGCGAAAAACACACACTCAGGCCCTGTTTACACTGATAGGTCTTTGTTTTTAAATGGCATTTTAGAACAACAACGATCCACATCTACACTGGCGTGTAGCATTTCTGAGCAGCCCTCCTTCCTCACTACCGCTAAAAACGCACATTACGTGACCACACACACTCATTCACACAGACACAGACGCACACACAGTCATGCGCTCGAGACAGCGGGTCCAGGCAGTAGGCTTGGGCGGTATCCAAATTTTGAGACCGTCAAACCGCCTCCATATTTTACCCCGGTATCCGGTATTACCGGCGTAATAAAAAAAATTATGACGTAAGGCTCAGACAGCGTCACCAAACTGTTGGCTTGAGCCTAAACCATTCAGAAACTGCATAACTTCTATGCAATCTTAGGCTCGCAGTCAGAGAGGAGAGGGAGAGAGAGAGGGAGAGAGAGAGAGCGCCAAGCGACGCACAACACCCCTCTCTCTCTCTCTCTCTATCTCTCTCTCTCTCTCTCTCTCTTACACACGCACACATCTCTCCCGCGATTTATTCAGAAGTTTACTCCCACACCGTAAGAAATCTGGTCGCGGAACAGCAGCGGGAATGCAGGGCTGTAATCGGGCCATAAAAATTATACCCGATAGGTCCCGAGTCCGACAGGTACATTTTGATTGACAGCTTTATTAAGTCGAACCCGTTTACAGCCCGACATTATTCAAATGTGCTCCTGCACACAGCTCTAATGCATTTTTTTCAAGAATGAGTCATTTATATGTTTTAACATCATTTATTCGTAACAAACGTAGACTATAGGCCACTTGAAAGTTGGAACAAATAAAATAAGTCCTCTGAAACATCGTAACATCTCAGCACTCTAACACTTTGCCTTTAAATTGGCTAACACAATTTAAAAAAGAAATCGTGCTTAACAAATCAAATTAAAATAAACTCTAAATGATGACGGGTATTTTGGCAATAATGAAATTAAGATAAAGGCTCTGCAAGAATTGTTTCTCCATTTCTCTTCACAATCTGGCATTAGGGCGGCGGTGAAGCTGAATATTAAAAGAATAATGCCACCATTAGCCTGTATACTCTGTCTAAATTATGATTATATGGTTTTATTAATATTTATTTATAATTTTAAACCCTGTACTCACCAAGATTAGGCTACGTGTGTTTGTGGAGGAACATTATTAAATCCACTGGCTTTAGCGCAGTCCTGCGCTCACGGGCTCCTGCAGCTGAACACCCTTTCCTGCTGCTACAGGTCGAGATGCAGAGTTCTGATCTGGCAAGTTTTAGGTAGGTTTGTTTGTTCATCTTCTACCAGTCAGGAACATGCATTTAATTTGCCATGACAGCAGTTTCAGGGTAGCGAGTGGCCTAGTCATTTTACCTGTCAGCTTGCGGTTTAGGGCTCTACCGTAATACGCAGTGTATGTGCGACCGCGAAATACCTGCGGCTGGAATAACCGCTCTTTCTGAACTAGTGACTGGCTTGACCGCCGTCAAAATTCTCTTTTTTTTTACTACTTCGTCATCATTTGCTTCACCTTTGCAGGGATGGATTTTAATGCAGGGATTTGGATTTTTTCGGGTCTCGCCGGGTTCGGGCAAAGATCTTCAGCTCTAATGCAGACCTCTCGTTCATATTAACCACGTCTCCCTTCTATTCATTCGAAACTGCCAAACTGCAGGACACTTTGAAGCGCCCCCCCTCCCTCTCACCCTCTCCCCCTCCCTCTCCCTCATTCTCTCTCTCTCCTCCACACTGTCCCGTGATGACAACCACACATACGTTTTTGTAGGCATTAAATAAAGGATATTTAATATTTTATGACGGTATAACGGTATTGAAACTCACACCGTTTCTATTTTTAGATCCCGCGGTATACCATAATACCGTAATACCGCCCAAGCCTACCAGGCAGTCAGCGGGTCAGTAGACTCCTTCAATCTTTTACTTTCACACTAGTACTTAGTCATTTTAGCGAACACCTCAGATACTGTTGGCTGGTTCCTGTTGGTTGTGCACCTTTTTTAAAGACGCCATTATAACGACACAGATCTCTGCCTATTTACGAGTCCCGCAGAAAAAAGTGATTGACAGGTGATAATTATGTGTGTATCTTGCCTTTATTCATTTACTGTATGATTTGTTAATGGGTAAAACAAAGACCATGCAGGTCAGGTAGTTTAAACGGTAGGCTACAAATAATTAATTCGTTATTAATTAATTAATTATTCATAATCGAAAATCGAATGGAACGTGACTTCAGAATCGAAAATGTAATCGAATCGAGGATTTGGACGATCGTGACACCCTTAAAAGTTATTTTAAATGTAAAAAGTGTTTAAAGCAATGGTACATTGTAAAAATGCTGGGTTCCACACAATTCATTCATGTTGTCCCAACACAAATCCATTAAGTTAACTTAACACTTTCCTAATGACACCTCAAGAATTGTGTTGTTTCAGCTCATTTTAAATAAGTAGTTTGAAAGTAAAAATTTTTTTTGAGTGTTTTTAATGTAATTTTTAAATCGATTGTAGTTTTTATTAATGTTTAACATTGTATTTTTACATCATTGTCTTCATTTTAATTTAAGAAAATAATATTATTTTTTATTTATTTGTTTGTTTTTTGTTTTGAAGTTTCAAGTTAAAGCAGATGAAAGTGAAAAATATATATTTGCCCAATTTTTAAAATAAGGTTATTGTTATTATTATTACTATTATCATACACTTGGCTTAAGTAACAAAATCGTTTTTAGTTTTTTCCTTTATTTACCTATAATAGCCCTGGTTTCAAAGCACACTGACTTAAAACACAATGCTCATGATGCCATACACTTAAAGAAAAAAATACATTTCAGCCGGATATAACCATCCAGCCTAAAAAACAAATGTTTGCCTTTGCAAGTGTAGCTTAAAAAAACCCCAAAAATATACAAATTAAATCTAAATGAGCTGTCATTGCACAGACCTCTAATAGACTTATCATTTAGGCCTTATTGCACAACACATGGACATGACCTCAAATCATTTTTCATTATACAATACATATCACCTATACATAAACAATTTTATCAACACTTTAGCTGATTGCAAAACATCCCTATCTCTATTGGAGGTGTCAATATCAGTATGGCTAAAAAAACCCAATAGTATGTTGCAATAAATTACTATAATATATTTTCATGCGAGTGCCAATGGCTGTAATATTGTTTATTGCAATATATTTTGGTGCAATAAAAAATACATAACGTGACAGGCCTAGAAACATTATAGTGTGTCTGCCTGGTAATACTGAATTGTATTATATTTTAAAATCATCTTGCTGGCAATGGGTAAAACTAAATGGTTTGAAAGATAGCGGCATGCATATTTAATAGTCAGTAAGTACTGTATTTTGGGGCTCAAATCTATTTCAGTGTGTCAATATAATGATTCTTGTTCCAAGTATGCCTGTTAGTTACACTCAATGACATTTTAATATGTCTTCTGTAAATAATCTTAGGCCCAATCCCAATTCCATTTTTTTTTTTACCCCTACCCCTTAGGTCCTTGAAAGAGAGTGTGAAGGGGTTTATCTTTTACCCCTAAAAAATGGGACACGCATGTCATATGTCGTCACAAGCTCATACGTAGGGCCAGACGGAATCTGCGGACGTTTTTTGCTATTTCTGCTGAGAATTTTGGAAAATTTGCGGATTTCTGCGGAATTATTTTGGGAGTATCCAGCGGAGTATCATAACTTACACTTTAATATGTTAAATAAAAAGTAATAAATTACTGAATAAAAACTGAATAAATTCTGATTTACACATTTACTCAAGTAAATAAACAGAATTTGTAATGGGCTAAAAAACTGCAGAAATCTGCGGAATTCTGCGGAAAATCTGCGGAATTCTGCGCGCGCAGATTCCGTGTGGGCCTACTCATACGTCATACAAGATAATAATAATACATTTTTATTTGTATTGCACTTTTCCTACATACATGCAACTTAAAGTGCTTCACAAATAAACAAATACTGAAAAACAATGTCATTATGAAATAATAATAAAAAAATTTTGAAAATACAATTAAAAAATGGATAAACAAATACAAAAATGAAAACAAATGTATGAACCGATAGAGCGCAGTAATCAACAAATATAAATGCATTTATATGTACACACATATGCAGTAAACATATACACACACAGTACAGTACTTACATGTGCATATACATGCACACACACACACTGTACATGCATGCGTAAAGACAAGATTGACGATGGCGCCTGCTGTAGTTATTCCAGTTGAGTGGCTCACAGTTATTTTTTGGTTGTTATCTTCAGGAGATCATCGAAAACAACAATATCATGTAATATGACTGTGTTGTGTATTTACAGTGGCCATATTCATATTCAAAACAACATTAACATTATTCCAGATACTTTACAAAGTTCATTCCCAGCCACTAGACTTTACTGACAGGGTATTGGAGTGTCATCAAGTGAAAGATTTGAACGTATGTTATGGGACTACTATACATGAGTTATTATTATGCATTATAGATAGGGATAGGGAAATTTATTTATTTAAATAGATTTATTTTAAAGCATGACTGTAACACACATACACCATAATGAACATGTTAAAACATATGCTAAAATTTCTGAATAATGGCAAAAAATACTTGTGCAACTCCTTTTTTGTGTGTACAGCCATGCTTTTCATACCTATTGGTTTCTAGTGTGGTCCTGTAAAATCTCAGTTTCAGGGGCTATCTAACCTTTTCCTTTAGCCCTACACTTTTAAGCTAAAGAGAACTGAGGATCCTCTACCCCTTCACATGAATGCACAAAGCAATGGGTAAGGGGAAGGGCTAAGAGGTAGAATTGGGATTGGGCCTTACTGACCCTTATAGCAACTGCAGCTTTTCTAAATATTCATTTAATATACATAATCCCAAATCTCTCTTTCTCTCTTGTCTCTCAGTTGTGTACGAACATCGCTCAAGGTTGGAGAAGTCTCTTCAGAAGGAGCGAATTGACCATAAAAAAGCCAAAGAAGGCAAGTGCATTTTTAACAAATGACAACATCACTGACTTGATAATAATGGCATCCCTGATGGATAAACCGGTACAACCCAATAGAGCTGGATTATACTAAGCTAACAGTATACGAAGATCAGTGTTGGGTAAAGTTACTTTTAAAAGTAGCATATTAAAATCTTTGGTCCCACTTTATATTAAGTGGCCTTAACTAATATGTACTTACACAGGAACTAATAGTTTGTTACAATGTACTTATTGTGTAAATACATGCATTTACTTTGAACTTTTGCTTGATTAAATACATGTATGTATTTACATCTGTAATTAACTTTTGTAGTTACATTTGTAAATACACTGTTGACCATCCCTTACACCTTAACCCACCCTTAAACCCACCCATGCCACCAAACCTGTCCATAACCCAACCTCTATCCCAACTCAAGAGCACCACAAGTGTTCTCAAATACTTCATGAACACAGTAAGTACATTGTATTTATTTTTTTTGATGTAAGTACATAGTAGTTAAGGACTCTTAATATAAAGTGGGACCAAATCTTTATATGTGTTTAAAACTCTTTCAAAATTTTAAACTAAAAAAAAAACAATTGAACAAAAACCCTAACTCAAAATTAACAGTACATACGTTGTTCACATTACTTTCCTTAAAAGTAACTAAGGAACATGTTTAGTTGCTTTTTAAAAAAAGTGACTTAAGATTGTAAAATATTACATTTGTTCAGTTTTTGTATTATAAAAGACAAACACTATTACAAAACAAATTGTTAACTTGTGTTATCTTTTTGGATTTAATACTTAAATAAGGAAGACAGTAATTGGAACCTGCACGGACTCAAAATTCTCATAGAAATCAGTCAAGTTTGATGAAGGAAAAATCATGGTTTGGGATTATATTCAGTATGGGGGTGTGCGAGAGATCTGCTGAGTGGATGGCAACATCAACAGCCTGAGGTTTCAAGACATTTGTGCTGCCCATTCAGCCCATCTGGTTTCTTTCCAATTAAGGATGTTTACTGAATTCTCAAGCAGCACAACAATAAACTCTGGTCAAAAAACGGTTGCTCCATCTTTCTTTCACTTTTCTATTTCATAATATAACATTCCAATAAATGTGGCGCGAACCATTACAAACAAAGAAGTTGGGGTGTAATCAACAAATCTACGCAACATATCAACATGTGTAAACTGCACATGAATTTGAGCACTATTTCTTATTTATATTAAATCAAATTGTGGCTCTTACTATAATAATTAAAAATAATAATAAAAAAAAACAACAGGACAGAGAGTGCATTTCATAAATAGAGTAGTATATTACTTTAGTCACCTTACCCAACACTGCCTAAGGTTGGCTTAACCAACACTGGAGCCTCTGTTTGCTTAAAAAATGCATGAATGTTGTTGTGATGGGAACAAAATAATAGCATGCAATTGCTCTTTAATAACCAGAAACATGGTTGCATTTGTCTCTTATGTAATACATGCTTTTGCCTTTTTTCCCCCTCACAGATTTTCTTGCGTATAAAATAGAGGCCCAACAGTCTCTCAACAAAGAAAAGGTAATTTATTTGAAGTCTATATATTGGCTGTCAATAGATAAAAACCTTTGATTTTTAAGCTTTAAGCGTTTACTCTGTTATATGTGTTTTGAGACACTTGCCCTGCAGTCAGACAATCATCTGTTTGCTTGTGTGTGAATGGCTCACGTGTTTCCTCTATATCCTGGTCTGTGTGTCATGGCATTTAGAGGTATAATGGTGCCATGTTTACTGAATGACCCGTTTGGCTTTGTGTTTGTTTGCAGCAAGATTCGAGCGTCAGGTTTAATTCTTTGCATTCCCAGCATCAAATTTTGAAGGTCAGTTGGAAAATCATGTTTATTTTTGAAGTTTTTTTTTTTTTTTTCACTTCTGAAAGCAGTCAAATATTGTCATACTGGCTTGAGTAAACCAATATGCTTGTTATTCAATGGTAATGGCAATAGCAATTCAAGCCAAAATATTGTTAAAACATGTTAGAAACTACTTATGCATGTTAAAATGCTAGAAACATGTTACAAATATTGAGTCATGTGGTAAAACATGTTAAAAACTCAGTATGTTAATGCTAATTCACATTAACCAAGTTTCTAATATGCAAACCGTGAACTTATTCATGCTAGCAATGTTAAAAACATGTTCATAACATAGCTAGCATCCTGGAAAAACATGTTTGCTGCGTGTTAAAATTATAAAATTATAAAACTGTTTTTCTTTCATTCTGCTTTACTCCAAGCTAAAAGAATAGTTGACAAAGCCAACAAAAGTTTTTGCCATGTGATGAAACATTGGAAAGACATGCTAGCAGAATGCTTATTCATACAGTATTAATGCTAAAACGTGTTACTCGCATGGTTAAGCATGTTAAAACTGTTTAACTATGTACTAAAACATGTTGTAAGCATGTTAATTCATGTTGATAAGATGTTTAAGCATGCTAACCATGTACCAAAACATGCTAAAATATGCTAAAAGTATAATTATGTATGTCACGAGTGAAAGAATGTTCAGGTGAATCCAAGTGCGAGTTTAACAAAACTTAATATTTATTGACACAGTCAAACAAAAAGCAAGGAATGAATGTAGTGCTAATGCTAGGAGAGACCGGGCAGGAATCAAGCAGGAAACAGGGTCCCGAAAACACTCCTCAGATCCTGAGCACACAGACAGAACAAGACACATAAGCACACGTAACGAACTGACAAAGACACACAGAGAACGTGGCCCATATATAGGCCCGAATATGAGCCTCAGCTGGCGGGCTCATCAAGCCAGCTGAGTGCCGTCATCACACGTGATCAAAACAGATACACGTGGAGAACAAAAACAAAACCACATGATCAAACAGACACACCGGAAGAGCGCACAAATCTGCAACCGTGACAATGTATGTCTCTCTTTCAGCCTACTTTACTCCAAGTTAAAAGCATAGCTTATGCATGTTTTCTGTAGCCAACATACATTTTTAGCCATGTGATGAAACATTGTAAACATGCTAGCAGCATGCTAAATTACATTAATGCTAAAACTTGTTAGTTGCATGCAAAAACATGTTAAGACAGTTTAACTGTGTACTAAAACATGTTGTAAGCATGCTTATTCTTGTTGATAAGATGTTTAATCATGCTAACAGTGTCAAAACATGCTAGAAACAGGCTAAACATATACATCTATTTATTTCTGCCTACTTTTTCCTCAAGTTCTACAGCTTGCAAAACCGATTCCAACAAGCAAAGTTTTCTCAAGCTAACATAAATGTTTGCTTCAAACAAACTTTACTATGCAGATCACTGTTGTCTCTGTATGTTTATCATTAGAACCAGCATGACGATCTAAAAAAGCAGTATTACGAGCTGCAAGAACGCCACCAGCTACAAGGAGATGAGCACAACAAGGCATTAGAGGAACATAAACAGAAGCTCGACCAACTTCATCTGAACAAGGAGTCTGAGATTTCCAAGCTTAAAGGTGTCATGTTTTTTCTTGGTAACAGTCTGGCATCCATCAATTAGCAAGACTAGCATCATGGTGGTGTGATTTGCATAGGCCAACAGCATTTCTTGGAATTTAAGAGTCTAGTTTGACCTGTACTTCCAGGTTCTTACAGTGTTTATGTTTCTGGCTGGTGTCTGTTTGGTGAAATTGCATGATGAAAGCATATAAGCTGACTTTCTTCCTCTCTTTCTTCTCTAGAGAGTTCATATAACCTGCGTGAGGAGAACAAGCAGCTAAGAAAAGCTCATCAAGACATTTATGTGCAGCTTCAGGATACCAGGGTAATGCTGAAACGTGCTTTGGGATTTGGTTTATATCAGAGAAAATCCTCTGCTTTAAAATAAAAGGTCATTTAGGAGCAGAGGTACAGAATGTGAGCTATAGGTTTATGTAACCATAAGTCTTGCTCGCTTTTTGCTGTAGATTAATGGGTGAATCTTGTGGCAATATATCTAGCTATGACAGCCTCGATGCTACATGAATAAAATCTAAACATTTATTTAGCATAAATATACTTAATCCTACATTAAATTCAGAATTTGTAATTGTATTTTATAGTCACAAATAAAATTCACATTTAAATCATGTCAATAAATGAATACAAATGTTATATATACTCCCTGACAAAAGTCTTAAGTCAATAATCCCAGTTGTCAGAGCAACAAATAATAGATTGACTTCTAGTTGATCATTTGGGAAAGTGGTAGAAGGTAGATTTTTCCTAGGAATCATCTGTTGAACTGAAGACCTATTAGAACTCGCATGGACCCAAGACTCTCACAGAAATCAGTCAAGTTTGGTGAAGGACAAATTATGGTTTGGTCTTACATTCAGTATGTGGGCGTGCAAAAGATCTGCAGAGTGGACGGCAACATCAACAGCCTGAGGTATTAAGACATTTGCGCCGCCCATTACATTACAGACCACAGGAGAGGGCAAATTCTTTAGCAGGATAGCGCTCCTCAAACTTCAGCCTCCACATGAAAGTTCCTGAAAGCAAAGTAGGTCAAGGTGCTCCAGGATTGGCCAGCTCAGTCACCAGTTATGAACATTATTGAGCATGTCAGGGGTAAGATGGAGGAGGAGGCATTGAAGATGAATCCATAGAATCTTGATGAGTCCTGCAAGAATGCTTATCTGTTCAAGATGTCTTTATTAATAAGTGATTTGAGTCATTGCAGAGATGTATGGATGCAGTCCTCCAAGTTCATGGAAATCATATACGATATTAATTATTTTTCCACTGCAGCGTGACTTTATATTCTATACTGTATAAGACTTTTGTCTAGGCAAAGTCAGACCTTAATCTCCTGATTAAATAATGAAAAATCAAGGCATGATCATGTTTATTTTGGCAAAATAAGCATAATCTAGAAGTCTTTGCCTTTCATGTGAGCCACTTCTGACACCAAGTGCTCAACTAGAAGTCAAGTTGTTATTTGTTGTTCCTAAAACTTACATAGACGACCAGACTTTTGTCAGGTAGTGGGTATACACAGATATGCTTTTTATTATTTTGCTGACATGATTTAAATGTGGATTTTATTGCCACTATTAATTACTTGTACAAATTCTGAATGTATTATATTATTGTATATAATGAAATGTATTATATTAGATTTTAGAAATGACATTAACACATTATTTTATTTCAGATGATAAAAATTATTTTAGTTTGAAAACTAAATATGATTTCACCCTAATTTAGCGTGGAATTTAAATACCTGATAACGGTTTTAGCAATTTTCATGAAATTCACCCAGTTAAAACTCCCACTTAACCTAATGTCCATGATTTATCTTTTTTCAGATGAGTCTATTGTGTTTCTGATCATATTATATAATATAATATTAATATAATACAGCTTTATCACACTATCTGTACTAATATAGTCAGTGTGTGGTTGTCCTGAATGTTTGCCTGTGATGGTTCCTCTTGTAGCAACAGCACAAGAACTTAAAATCTGCCCATGACCAGCTTGTGTTGACCCTGGAGGACCACAAGAGTGCGCTAGCTGCAGCCCAGGTTAGGGTGTGAGTGTGTCTGTCTGTGTGAATGTGCACACTTTAAGTTGCTGCCGGAGTTTGTGTTTGCTGTGCATGAAATCCGCTGGCTGATCAAATGCATGCAGTGCATGTTCTGTGAGAAAGACCAGTTCAGTGACACACAGCTTATGTAAAAAGCATGCAAATGGCATATATTTATTTGAGCACTCCGATTACAACAGCATGCAAATTGCATTTCAGGATGAACCCTATTTTAGTAAGCAAGTAAAGGTTTATTTATATAGCACCTTTCACAGACATTTAGTCACAAATAAAACCGGAAAAAAGGGAAAACATCAATAAAAGAAAACAAGTTAAAAATCCAAGAACAGAAACACCAATGTAAAACCAGCTCACCATACTGGTAATCTGGGGACAATCCTGACCAAAAAGATGTGTCTTTTAAATATTTTTTAAAAAGTTCAACTGATCCCAGTGTTCTCAGTGCTTGAAGGAGAGAGTTCCAGGGCCTTGGGGCCACAACACAGAAGCACGGTCACCTTTAGGGTGCTTTCACACTAGCACTTTTGGTCTGCACCCGGGTTCGTTTGACGTCATAGTACGGTACGTTTAGCTAGTGTGAACGTGTCGTCGGAACTCAGGTGCGCACCTGTGAACCGTACCCGAGTCTGCCTGAAAGAGGTGGTCTGGGGTACGGTTCATGCAAACTCTGGTACGGTTCACTTCTGATGTGAATGCAATCGTACCAAATCACGGAAGTGAAGTGCCAACTGTTCAACAAACTATCGTTTTCATAATGTGCGTTCGTGTTTGTGTGTTTGTGTGTGTGTGTGTGTGTGTGTTCGTACCTTGGTGACACGTGCGGGACTGAGCCAGGGCAAACACAGTGATACAGAGTGATGTCTGCTTGTCTCCTCCAAAACAGCTTCTGCAGACACTGTGTGATGTTCTGAATGTTTATAATATGTTTGCGGCAGATGGATGCCAGTCGCTTTCTGTATGTCCAAAAGCATAAAATATATATGTGTGTATATATATATATATATATATATATATATATA